TTTCACGATTTTCATTGGTTAAAGGTAACAGGTGACTATCGGGTAATATCGTGATGTGTTGGCCCTTCGCAGCCTCGCGTAATTTTTTATTTCAAAAATTTAAATTTTCATTCAGATGCACGAACAATTAATATATATTAATGGAAAACTATTTGTTTCCAAATTTAGTATACAAATTTTTAGATTCGTTGGCTAACGATTGTTGTTTTGGTTCAAAATAAGTTTTCCGGATATAATTAATTTTGAAGTGATTTGGCTTCTCAATATTTTCAGAATGTAGAAGATTGGTAATCTTGTTATCGCCTGAATTCTGATGTAAATATTTTGCTTTTTTGATGATTTTCTCCTATTATCCATTGAGTCTTCATAAGCGTTTTTACAATCATTGGGTGTAGAGCCTCAAAAAAAGATCAAATTCACCCACCTTAAAATAGTATAAAATTTCTAAGGCTTGTCTTAAGACGTCAATACTACAAATCTGTGCGGGAAACTTAAAAGCTGGTCCATCAAATCCAAAATAAAGCCCTTCGTCCAGTAAATCGACTCCAATCAATTGACCGTCCAAAGCTAAAATATGTTATTAGATGTGAGAACGATATATCCTAATACCATGATGTGTGATGTTCAATGATGCTGTGATTTACCCGCCAGCTGTAATCCAAAAATTGCCGTATCATTTAAAGCTTCATCAGGAATATTGCTCTCGAGATATTTGTCAAGTATGCATTTATTTGTTCTCAGAGATTTACTTCGATCTTTTATAATTTTTACAAGTGTAGCTTCCCGAGCGCATTCGGAATGGCTCAGCTCTTTCGTGCCATCTTCAGTTTTTATACAAAGGTCAATCTTTCTTCTTGAATCATTCGTGACTTGCGAAACTATTTCTCCCCTGAAGAAATTTGTATATCAATTTTCAGATCCATAATTGATAACCACTTCAAGGTAATAAATAAAATACTTACCATATCAGTCTAACATAATCTCGTTGATCTGAGAATATGATGTCTAAAATAGAGCCTGTTAAAATCATCGCATATTGAATTTCAGTATGGTTTTGAGGCCGGCCATCTTTTTTGATGAAAATATAGGGATTTTCTAAAAATAAATCAATGCTGAAAAAGTAAAAATTTCAACTTCAGTGAATAGCAAAACAAAGAATCAAATAATATTATAATAAACATACATATTGAAATATATTTTTGCTACTTGTCTCATTTGACTATCAATAGGTCGTTCCATTATTTTTTCTAATACAATTTTTCGTGCCCCCAAATAATCGTATGAACCACAAAGCTAAATGTATAGTATAATGAAATGTGTAAGAGTTTGGCCACATTTGATAGCAGTTTCAACAGTAGTACAGTTTATATACATTTTCTACTTTTGTAATTAATTCTAATACTTCTCCTGTGAATCTTTCAACTTTCAAGTCAATTATTGATAATACTTTTTTCTTTAATGGTATCCAATTGTCCCCGAACCAGGTGTACATGCCTCCTTTGAACTCAGACGAAAGATCTATTATGGAAGATAGTCCCAACCTGTACATATGTTTATAAAGTAATTAATAAATTAAAAAAGTACCATTAATAATATTATTATTACCTTATAACACTCAATATTTTCGTGTCAACTTTTTCGGCTTGTTTCGCTTCTTCGATTGCCTTTTTTGTCATAACTATGAGCCGACTTCTTACGTTTTCACCATTCTTTAATTTCCATTTGTAATTTTTGTTATCGGTTTTTGATGAACCAACAAATGAATTAAATGATATATCTGCAAGTTCAACCGTATCTTCTTCATCAGAATTGTCATCTAAAGAATTTTCTTCATCTTCGTCCTTATAGGCAGATGATATTCCGGAATTTAATCCGTTCGGTAAAAAGTTTAGATTAAACATAGAAATAGTAATTTTTTAATCAGAATCAACATGTATTTTTTTTTATTGCTTACGTTCATCTGTTCTCTTGGATATTCCAAATCCGATTCATCAGCTGATAAAATTTTTTCATCATAATTTTTTGCTTTCTGACTTTCTTCCTACGGAAGTCATAAAAAACAATATATTCTCGGTTAAAAGATGTATATAGCTATAATAACATAAAAGGTATTTGATACCTCCACAATCCCATTATTTTGTTCGTCACTTTCTTCCGTTGATTTGATCTGTGTATATCCAAGATATAAGAAAAGGAAGAAAACATATTGCAACTATTTACAAGCTTCCAATACTAACCTTCTTGACCTCCACAGAAGAAATTAAATCCGAATCTAAAGTGCTATCAAAAGCACGTTTACCATCCGAAGACGATGCATCTTTTCCTTTTGATCCAATAATAACAGTTCCACCTCTGATATTTGCAACACCCAGAGAATTATTAAATATTGGTTGATAAAGGTTGATCGAGGAATTACGATCATTGTCCCAATTTTTGGCTATTTGATAATCAGGTCGTGATCCCTAGCGTAAGGACACGTTAGTAATGTTCTTAACTGGCATAATCATAATTCACTATTTTATTTTTTTTTTAACCCACTGGTTTGGCCCGGAGCCTTCAGCATCAGACAACCCCAGAGGTCACCTATGCCCCAATGGAGCCATTGCCAGTCCAGCCCGGAGCCTTGAACATTAGATAACCCCAGAGGTCACCCATGCCCTGACAATGGCTTTGTGAAAAAATGAAGGTTCTTGTACATGGCAGTTTACAATAATTCCAAAGATCTACCTCTTCAACTTACCGATCTATATCTATGCAATAGTTGTTTTGCTTGTTCACGTCTTTGGCCTTCTTCAGTATCGGCAATTGTTTCGAGACACTTAATATAGCACTCTATTTTCCGTTCAAGAGGTTCTAGAACACACTCATCTAAGAATCCTAAAATATTCCACTTGGATTCTTGCTCAAAAGAATCTAAATGAGTTCGTATCCCGCACAAAGGGTCGTAGGCATAGAAATGACATATTCTAAAGTGTTGCAAGAAGGGGAGCGAATGAACCCAGTTCTCAGGAGAAGAACAAGGAACTCACCCTTTCAGAAAAATCACCTTGACTAAAACAACTTACGACGAGGTTACATAAGATAATCGTCCAATTAAAATTGCAATTAAAGTACTACAGTTTCTATATAGTTTTATTTTCTGGCTCTGGTGGCCGATTTATCATAAACGATTGTGCTTAGTGTCCTTATTACACAAGTGTGTTTCGTGAATTATTTCTTCTGATGTGTTGTTATGATTCTTTGAAAAAGCGATCAGCGTGACAAATGTCACGCACATGATTCAAGAATAATTTCTACTTACTGCGCTTTATATCACGTGATGTTGTGACCCAAGGTCACATCCTATATGGGGTGTTGTCAATAGAAACAGCCCATTTTTACAATTTTTTGAAAAATGAGTTTTTAATAGATTCATATAA